GGATTTTGCTACACTAAATTCTTTTCGTAAGATGGGTCTTTAGATTAGGTTGGAGGCCGATTTCGGGAGACCTCTTTTCCAAGATATGGCGCTGGACGCCCACAGCCCTTCCCAGCTCCGCTCACAACTCCCTCCAAAATCAAAGCCCTGAGCTCCGCCCACAATATTATTTTAGAATTATATAATTAAATTAAAGATAGTATGGAAATAGTATTTAAAAATATTGAAATAAAAAATCTATTTGATTTTTCTATAGGAGTGAAATATTTTTAGCTGAAATCTAGGGATTCATAATATTTTCCTAAGGCAGTCGTTATCTTAGTGCCAATTTAGTTGAGAATATTTAATTAAATTAAAATAATATTAAATCAATACTAAAATATTATTGAAATGAGGAATCTATTAGATTTTTCGAAAGGAGCCCATTATTGTTAGCTGAATTCTAGAGATTCGTAATATTTTCTTAAGGAAGTCATTATTTTCGTATTATTATAGAATTTTTTTGGAAATATTTCATTAAAGCTTCATTCTAAAGATATACGAAGTTTGGATGGATATTGGTATTACAGATTAATAATATCTCGAGATTATATATATAAATTTGTATATTACGAAGATATAGAAAGTATGGGTAGATGTTGGCGATACAAATTAAGCCTATATTATAACGATATTTAGATTATGGATAGACGTTGGTTTTAAAAACATATAGTATCTCTAATATATATATATAATCTATATATTATAAAAATATAGAAATTATAAATATAAATTGGCATTATAAATATATAATATATCTCAAGTATGAAAAATTTATACTATAAAGATATAGAAATTTTGGGTGGACGTTGAATTTACAAATTTATCATGTTGTTAAAATATTCAAAATTGTCAGTACGAGGATTCATGAATTATTGAAAGATATTGGCGCTGAAAAATAATAGTGTCTCTAAAGTATTCAAAGTTTTCCACTACAATGATTCAGAAATTATGGGTGGATATCGGTCTTATAAAATTTAGTATCTCTAAAATATCCAAAGTTTATACTACGAGGATTCTCAAATTATGGAAGGACGTCGATCTTATAAAATTATAGTATCTCTAATATATTCAAAAGTTATACTACGAGGATTCTCAAATTATGGAAAGATATAAGCGTTATAATTTTATAGTCTCTGCAAAAACAAAAAATATATATTAGAAACAGATAGAAATTATGGGTGGATGTTGGCTTGGGGCGGGGCTCGTGGGGATTGGGGGCTGGGATGGGGGGGGGGACTGGATCCAAAATTTTTGGGCACCCCCGTCGCCTGCAACCAGCAAATAATTTTAATTTTTCCAAAAAATTTTGGGCCCGCCATGGCGGGTTGGACGGGGTGGGGGAGAGTGTAGGGCTGAGGGGAAGGAGGAGTAGGGGCTGTCCAAGGGCTGGGCTAGGGGCAGGGCAAGGTCCCTTAAATAGAGCAAAATATCAAAAGAGCCTTATTTTGACAGATAGCCTCATCTCAATCCAGCCCCCAGCCCCCAGCCCCCAGCCCCCAGCCCCCAACCCAGCCCAGCCCCGTTTTATCCCAAATAATTCCCGCCCAATTCAGCCCAGCCCAACCCCTAGTCCAGCACAGACCCTTTCTATCCCAAATCAGTTTAAATTAATTTCCCAAATTTTTTATGATTTGGGAAGCACCTCCCCTAAACGATGAGCTAGATATCGCGTGATTTGGACCAGGCGTCATGGGCAGTAAATATTATGTTGACGAATAAGGAAGAAGTCTCGGATCTCTATAATTCCAAAAGATCATCTTCTTAATTCTCATCTCTATAATCCGAAATATGATATCTTATAATTCAAGATATAGGTCGCGAGATCCTATGACGATATCGTCTTCGAAATAAATATGATTTGAGAAGATCTCATAATCTAATTAGCGATTTTCCGAAGAGATGGGGTTCGGAAGAATGATTATGGAGATATCTATCCATAATTTAGAATTTCTCATATTGAATATAGCTACGCGCATTATTCTTAATTCGGAATACGAAGCTGTACTAGGGCATGAATCTCTCATAGATCTATCTCGGTCGTTGTTCCGTGCCATTACTCGTCGCGACCAGAATCGATTAAGATCCGGGCGGGGCCACAGTACTAAATCTATTCAAGAAAGATTATTCCATTCAAATTATGAATATCATCCCGATTATATCTATCGCGGAATATTATCCAGCAGATATCGTCCGATTCCTTCTCATATGTACAGACGCGGGCCTATATTAATCTAGATCGAATCATTTTTATGAGTCGATATCAATCATGAAGTCCCATTATTCGTATTAGCGGACCACGATCAATAAATATTAATACATATTATGAATATTTTCCATACTTACCATATCTCTATCTAAATTAATATTGATTTTATTCTAGAATCATCAATATATCATCGATTCCCCAATTCGAGAAATACGCGACCCCTTTAACCTTAATATCATGAGACTTATCATATATTTGAATATATACGGCCTATTGCCATAATTTCATAAATTCTTCGCATAGATCACCGTCCAACCTTCGATCGCGGCTGCTTCTCCTTTCCTCATCGTATTTTCCAGCGAGCAATTTCAAAGGATCGTCAAAAAATGAGCATATATCTAATCTATATTTTCCTAGTCTAATCAAATCGAAGAGAGAAATTTATAATATAGAATCTATCGTGTTTGAAATATATTATTCCAAAATCATAATATAATATTAGATAGAAATCGAATTTGCCGATCATTCGCCATTTCCTAATAATAAAGACAAATTCATAATATCAATAAATATCATCTAAATTCCTAGCTCCCAAATATTAGAAGCGGTAATTAATAAAATCTAAAAGCCGAATCAATCATAAAAAGCAATTATATTCACAATTCTAAATAAATTCTATACCGATGCTCGAAATTTATTCCTAACCTAGAAATTATAGCAAAATTTCAACAATTAAAGAAGGTTCTAAATCTAGCTTTTAGGCTCTAAGAAAATCGAAGCCGATAAATCCCTCCAGCTTTCAACCACACCCATATCTCACCCCTCCCTATAAAGCCTCCTTCACATAAATAAATTTTCTTTTAATATCATCTATTCTTGCTCAGAATATATTAGATTTTATCTTAGAATCTTTTCAATTAATATCAATACCGTACGACGATTCCCATATCGAATATTCATTCGGCGAAAATTATTTTCTGCTCCCGATTTTTCATTTAAAGCCAATATCAACAAAATACTATCGCGAAACCGTACAAAACCTCTAGAAGGCCGTCTCCTAAATTTTCCATGAAAAAGAAATCCCCGTATCATGTCCCACAACACCTTCTAAGGCACCTCCAAAGAAAGACCATAAAAAGAATTCCAACGATTACTCAGAAAAACTAACACAGAAACAAATATAAAGATAAAAATGAATAATACAAACGATATGCATAATAATACAATTTCCACATACGTCATCCATTTCGTTATATTCAAGAATAAAGTCTAAATTTAAAATATAAAATGCAAGCCTTACGAGAAAAAAGAGAGAAGCTTGGGCATAATTCATACGTTTCTTTGCGAGTGTGCCTTTATCGAAGAAGCCGGCAGCCGGGCGATATGAGGTGTTGTGCGAAGTTTGTTAATTATGGTCCGCAGTATATAGTTGATATAGAAGTTGTTCCTTTATATATCGCGGATGTAAAGACCGCGAAAGTGCCAGCAGTCATCTATGATATTTCCACAGCCCTGATTGCCATCTTGACAAGCGTTCCGCAGCCATTGCGAGCGCAGCCCTCAAAGGACAGATTCAACTTACCAGTCCATTCTGGAGGAGGCAACATCGTTCAAGTAATCAGGTATTTACGAGTCGCTGTGCATGCGAAGGTGCTGGTGGGAGCTTTGCATCGTGACAGTGCTCCAAATCCCATGACGGTTGCCTGAAAGGAACTTGCTCTCAACATCGAAGCCTTCGCAATGACCTTAAACCTGCAAAGTCCACAGCAACACTGCCACTACGACCACTGAGAATGGGTTGGGCGTCAAGCACTGAAAGTTGAAACGCTGCATTGCAACCGGGTGTGGTAAACGAATGAACCACGCGGTAGACTCTGACATGTCAGCATCACCACCAGAACATGCATACACAACAACTCAACAATCCGAATGCAGCCGCGAGCAACAAATGTTGGCCATGGCATCTCGAAGCAGAAAGAGACAGCTAGCAGCTAGAAGAAGGTCTTAATTAGTGTCGGGTAGAAGCTTGGGCATTAAATTTCAAAACACTGCCTGGCACGGAAAAGCTGGCCCCTCGGCCACAGAGGGAACATACTGAACCTAGGGTTTCCGGTTTCCATAGAGACCCTTCGAGGCTGAAAATTGGACGCCCCACCCGCTTCAGCAAACGGAAGTTAGAACCCTAAACCCCTCAACCCTAAACCCGAAACCCTAAACCCCTAAACCTTTCAAAAGCATCATCAACTGCCCGAGCACAGAACTGTCACGAACCAGCTGCCGACGATGACGGAAAATAGCCTGACAAAACTCGCGGTGCAGCCATGGGCCAGGCGTGGACTCTCCGTCCCGGGGCATAGAGAGACTCTGCGGCGGCCTCTCCAGGTCCAGGCCCCTCCAGGCCACTCCAGGCAGCACCTTGCTTCTCGCTTGGGGTTCTCATGGGCTACAGTGGCCCTGCAGCTCAAGTGCAATCAAACATTAATCCTTGCTGTGCTGGATGCGACAACTCTGCTTTTGCAGCCTTCTCACTAGCTGCATGTCTCGGCAACTCGTGTCCACTCTAAAAAACATGCAGTGCATCGTGGACAGAGCTCCAAACCATTTGAACGACGTTTAAAACAGGCATGCAATGTGGCTATACCGCGTCAACGCCAGGACTGTACAGCAAAATGGCGACTTAATCTTGCCCGATTCTCGGGACAAGAGCTTGCCAGAACCTAAAAGAAAGACCTGTTGTTAGCCTATCGGCCAATCACCGGCGATACTGATCCCAGTAGTGCAACCACTTCTTCATGTGGGGGTTTCTGCGTTTGCGCATGTTGTTGCCATGGGACTTTTTGTAGTAGCCATGGCCATCACACTTCACCAAAACGACGAAGCTCTCTTGAGTGGTCTTGCCCGCGGCATCGACTGCCGTGCAGGTCACTTCTGTCTCGCCGACGGGGAACTCGGAGCCCGATGACGGGCTGCAAGCAGCTGTCGCCCCTGGGCAGTTGTCGGCCGCAGCAGGGGAGAATGTCACCACAGTCGGCGTGCAGGAATTCACATCGACATCCTCCACCTCAAGAGTCGGAGGATCGTTGTCATTGACCTGAACACTGAAGCTCCTGATTGCAGTGTTGCCAGCCGCATCGGTCGCAGTGAAGGTCACACCAGCGCTGCCAACAGGGACACTTGCGCCAGAGGTTGGTCCGCCGGTCAGTGCAATCGTCGGTACTGCACAGTTGTCCGTTGCCGTGGGAGGGGCATAGTTCACGACGGCCGCACACAGTCCAGGGTCATTGTTCACCACGATGTTTGCAGGCACCGTCAGCGCTGGGTCCTCGTTGTCATTGACCTTAACAGTGAAGCTACCAGTTGCAGTGTTGCCGGCAGTATCGGTCGCAGTCCAGTCCTCTGTGGCGGTGCCCACCGGGAAACTGCTGCCGGGGCCAAGCCCCACAAACACGAGCGAGTCTACCGCACAGTTGTCCGTTGCCGTGGGAGGAGCATAGTTCACGACGGCCGCACACTGTCCAGGGTCGTTGTTCACCGCGATGTCTGCAGGCACCGTCAGCGCTGGGGCCTCGACGTCGTTGACCTTGACCGTGAACCTACTGGTTGCAGCGTTGCCGGCACTATCGGTCGCAGTCCAGGTCTCTGAGGTGACGGGGATCACCGGGAAAATAGTGCCGCTTCCAAGCCCGCTGGTCAGCACGACCGAGTTTACCGCACAGTTGTCTGTTGCGGTAGCATCAGGATAGCTCACGGTGGCCCCACACACTCCAGGGTCGTTGGGCACCTCGATGTTTCCGTTGCCTCCATTCACAGTCGGCACCGGGGGCTCAATGTCGATGACCGTAACGGTGAAGCTACCAGTTGCAGTGTTGCCAGCCCCATCGGTCGCAGTGAAGGTCACACCAGCGCTGCCAACAGGGACACTTGCGCCAGAGCTTGGTCCGCCGGTCAGTGCAATCGTCGGTACTGCACAGTTGTCCGTTGCCGTGGGAGGAGCATAGTTCACGACGGCCGCACACAGTCCAGGGTCGTTGTCCACCACGATGTCTGCAGGCACCGTCAGCACGGGTGGCGTCTCATCAGGGTTGCAAGCAACATTCACTCGTGCTTGTAAGAGGGCCTGATCGTCGTCGTTAGCACAGCTTGAATTTCTCAGGAGCTCCCCATCCGACACATTCGCGAGCACAACCAAGGCCACTAGCAGCACTCTGCCTTTAAAAATGCGGCCCTGCATGTCGCAATTTCGGGGAGGTCCACGAGAGCTGAGCTTTGATCCTGCACTACAACTCGAGCCGGCTGCAAGCAACTGTGGAATAGATCCGTCCTCCGCGGAGAGGCCGAACACCGCGGAACTCGAGCCGGCTGCAAGCGGTAGGGGCTTTAATGCTCGCGCAGTTACACTCAAAGGTAGCACCTCCACCAGCTCGTATCTGACTCATGAGCCGAGCACTGCCCACCTCAGTGACTCAGGAAAGGACGACTTGAATCTATATATATATATAGTATAGATAAAATATATATAACAGATATAATAGATATAGTATAATATATATATATAATATGACTAATATAAATAATAAAAATAATATAAATAATATAAATAATATAAATACTATAAATAATATAAATAATATAAATAACACAAAAAACACAAAATAGTTGATAATAATATGTAATAATATATAATAATATATAATAATATATATATTAATACTTAATATAATATAATATAATATAATATAATATAATATAATATAATATAATATAATATAATAGTTCCAGGGGTGAACCTGGCCCCTGC